GAGGAGGCTCCATCTATTGGTGGGGAGCAGCACCTGCTGGAAAACGGGTCCAACGCCCCATTTACAACCTGAAGAAGGAGTACATCAGAGAATCACTATGAGATGTTCCTGCCAGCATTGATTACCCTGGAGCTCCAGGGGATTGACTGAGCAGGTAGAACCGAGTACCCAGGTATTTACGACTCACTCAAAAGCAACCATGAATCCAAAAGCAACTTACCGTCTTCCACCCTTGCCAACTTATCCTGACAGGTTCATGTCTCTTCAAACCAAGACAGTTCACTGCCGCCCTGCTGATTACACGTAACTTTGCATCTGCAATCGATCTTCACTGTTCTCCAGATATGTATCTTTTTTTTTTTTTTTTTTTTTTTTGCAATCAAGAATGCTGGGAAACGGGCCCAGCTTCCCTTGTACCCTTGTACCTCTTCACCCTCATATGAGTGGCGCCATATTTCTCAGCTTAGACCTGGTACTGATACGAGTACATGATTAAGATGAAGGTGATGGACGCAACTCTTCCCAGAATACCATGTGACTAACATTGACCCCTTATAAAACCATACCAAGAGCTAGGAACAAGAGCAGATGCAGAGGGGGGGAAGGGGTCAAGGAAATCTGACAAGGGGCGCATGGGTACTAAAGCGTCAATGGCGGTCCAATCATCGAAAACCAATTTATAGTCCCTTTTGAGTCCAGCATCATCATCATCCATTGCCCCATTCCAACAAATTCTCCCTATTCTCCTTCCTTGGTTTCCGCCCGACCACTTACTCGTGAATTTCCGAAAATTATTCTTAATTTCTATTTTATCTGAGAGAAAATTTACTTTTTCTTTTATTTGGTCCCACTTTGTCAAAATGTCTGTTTAAATTTGTTGCTTGACAGTTTCTGTGAAATCGGGGTCGTCTAGCCTAGCCCCTTCCCACTCATAAGTACACCTCTTCTTCCAGATAGCCCACATTGCCACTCTCCTCCCTATTTGATTATCCACAAATTCTTCATTATTTTCTATTAGATTTTGATCTGGGCTCCAAGCCTCTAAAAGAATAGCTTTCCGCCCCCATGGCCATTTGACCTGTGGGACTAGCTGAGACCATATACGATCCCACCACCTCCAAAGCCAGATTGAATCCGACACTGCATAAAAATATGCTCTAAGGTTTCAGGAAAAATTCTACTGGGGAAAGAAGATTTACAAAGTTTATACCATCTTGCCGCTAGTCCTTTCTGCTCTAAAGAGGATCTGTTAATAAGCCAGTCATTGGTTGGGAGGCACCTATGTTCAATTTGTCATTGGATTGAAGCTATTTTTGTCGGTTTGTCTTTGATTGATCTGAACCATCGGACCGACCTCAACTCCTCTTTACTTATATTGAGGTGTTTCATCCACCTTGTTGTGACCCTATCTTTCAAGTTGATTGTAGGACTCATCTTCCACTATTTTTTTCTCTCCTCCCCTCCCCACTCACCATTTTCTACCAATCTCTTCTACTCCTCTCCACCTTTTCTATATCTTTCTCTCATTCTACCACCATCCTATCTTCCTTCCCTCCCCCAACTAAAACTCCACCATCTCCCCCATCTCTCACTTCACTCTCTGTCTCTTTCTCACTTATTTCTCTTTTTCTTCATCACTTTTTCATCTCCTCCCCCCCCCAACTTCGAATTTTTCTGTTTTCTTCTTTTGTTTCTCTCTTTGATTATTTTTTTCTTTTTTCTCCAAAAGTTTGAATTCTCTTATGCACTATTTTTTTCTCATTTTTTGATTTATTTTTATTTTTATTATATTTATTAATTTTATTTTATTTATTATTTTATTATTATTATTTTTATTTTTTATTATTTTTTTTTAATTTTATTTTATTTTTTAATTTTATTTTATTTATTAATTTTATTTTATTTATTAATTTTATTTTGAAATTTTATTTTTTTTGGCAGCATTTCTATATCTTGTTAGGATCTGCATAGTGTGACGAACGTGTTCACGCCCCTCCATGTTCGCGCGAACGTGTTCGGGCGACTATTTGTTTTTCGTAATAAACTAGGCTACCAGCCGGGCCACCCAGGTCCTGGGTGGGCAGCCCATGCAAGGACCAAGGAAGGTCCCAGCAAAAAAAAAAAAAAAAAAAAAAAAAAAAAAACTCCGAAAAAAAACTATGTTATACAGAAAATAAGCTAAACAACTTTTGCCTCAGGGTCACATCGAAATTCTTCACCAAATTTAAAATAAAAAATAAACTTTAAAAATAATTCTTTTTTTTGTTTTGTTTTTATTTTTTTTGGCCCGGTCGGGCAAGTGACCCCGGATCACTCTGGTAGCCTAGGTAATAAATATATATATATACTAGCTAAGCGACCGCGGTGCGGGCGGTGCGGGCTATGCCCGCAAAAATAAGAAATGTTGTAGGGAACCTCACACAGACCACTCACATAAACTCAAACAGACTTAAAAAAAAAAAAAATTGAATCACAGGGTAATAAAGAATAACCCAAAATTGGCTACGAAGTCTGAGTTTAACTAACGAATAAAGAAAGTGATAAATTGAAAAATCATCTAGGCTACCAGAGTGGCCCGGGGTCACTTGCCCGGCCGGGCCAAGAAAAAATACATATATAATAATAATATATATATATGTTTTTTTAATTTGATGAAGGATTTCGATGTAACCTTGAGGCAAAAGTTGTTCAATTTATCTTTCTGCATAACATAGTTTTGTTTTGGAGTTTTTGGATTTTTTTTTTCTTTTCTTTTTTTCGTTGGGACCTTTCCTGGTCCTTGCACAGGCTGGCCACCCGGGAACTGGGCCGCCCGACTGGTAGCCTAGAAAATCATTAAAAAAAAAAACTAGGAGGAAGGGCGAGGAGAGACAGAGACAGACAAAGAGAGATGGAAAGAAAGGAAGAGAGAGAGAGAGAGAGAGAGAGAGAGAGAGAGAGAGAGAGAGAGAGAGAGAGAGAGAGCAACAAAAGAGCAAAGAATAAAGAAAGACCAACACGAGTATATAAAGAGAAGAAGTTTAATATGAGGATTTATCGTTCCATTAAAGTTAGCAAGTGCCCACAGTATGATCAAGGTACAATTATTGCATAATGGAATCCACCTTGATGTAAAAAAACGCAATAATATCAAGTCAAACTTATTTCTCTCTCTCTCTCTCTCTCTCTCTCTCTCTCTCTCTCTCTCTCTCTCTCTCTCTCTCTCTCTCTCTCTCTCTCCGCCCCCCTATTTATTTCTCTCTCTCTTCCTATCTCTCTTGTAAGGGCAATTACTTAACCGAAACCGAAGTTGACCATAAAAAAATCAGCCATTAAGGCAGCGCCTAGACGACCGCCCAATCAACATCTCTCTCTTCCTATCTCTCTTATAAGACCAAACAACTTCCTTCACTGGAACGATACTCTTGCAGCACCTCACGAACAGAAACTTGTTGCAACACTTTGCGACGATACTCCTCAAAAGTTCTGAATCGACCTTGTCTTTGCCGATTGTAATTGAGATGAATTGTGGCATCCGCACATCTCCAAGTGTTCATGCTCGTATTCAATTCCGTCGAGGCCTCGACTTCGAATTAGGGGGAAAAAAAAATAAAAATAAAATAGCAAGCACATGGGCCCGGTTAGCTGGTTAGCCCCGGGCGTGGACCCAAAATTCAGGCCCAGTATGGGCCTATCCACAGGTCCAGGGCTGGACTTTCAGAAGAGGCAGAAGGACAGACGCACAGACACATAGACAAACCAACATACAGACAAACAATCAAACAGACACACAGACAAACAAAGAGACAATCAAACAGACAAACAGACAGTCAACCAGACAGACAGACAAACAAAGAGACAACTGGTGTCATGTTAGGGTAAAGAGAGCGGAGACTGTGTGTGCAGGGATGGGGCTCCGCGCTCCTGGTGGGGCAAGACAACCTATCGTCCTTGTTTTTGACTATCTTGACCATGTAATTGCCTTGGGCACTGAACCCTGTTAATAAAAGTGTAATTTCGGAAAAAA